CTCCACAGCTTAGAGGGAGCACTGCTCCGGAGAGGAATGGCAGTTATGGACAAATCACATTCTCCGGATCCTCCCAAAGGTCTCTAAACATACCGAGGATTCAAGGCGCGCCACGGCAGAGGGATGACCCCCGAATGAGCCAAGTCCCAGAAGACCCCCCCAGCCCCTTGCCCTATCCCCATTTGGACTCTGGGTGGGGAGAGGGTGTGGACACTGCAGACCAGTGTTCCCTCTAAGCTGAGTTAGTGTGAGCTAGCTCACAGTTTTTTAGCCTCCGGCTCCCACATTTTTGTCTCAGCTCAGGAAGGAGGGCTCCAGAGCAAACTAATTTATGCAGTAGCCAAATTGCTTGCTCACAACTTTAAAGCTAGTAGCTCAAAAAGTAGAATTTTTGCTCACAAGACTCTACAGCTTAGAGGGAACATTGCTGCAGACCTTGTTGCCGACTGGACTGCAGTGTCCCCCAGCCAGCGCACACACGCACACACTGTAGGCACAACGGGCACCTTCTCCCACGTGTCACTGTTAAAGTGATCAGCAGGAGAAAGGAAGGGTAAGACCCAAGATGTGTAGGTGGAGTGCTTGAGGAGAGGCAGGAGCCGGGCTCCTCTCCTGGGTTTCTGGACAAAAGGATCTGACCTGGATATCCCAGGCAAGCCCGGTCTTGGAAGATCTCGGAAGCTAAGCAGGGCCGACTCTGGCAAGTGCTTGGAAGGGCAACCTTCAAGGAATACCAGAGGTGGGAGGCGGGGGCAGGCGAATCAAGCCGCCTCTCTGAAAACCTTCCAAGCCCCCCAGTAGGGGTCGCCAGAAGTCAACCATGACTTCCAGGCGAGCACGCAAAACACACACAAACACACGTACACAAATATATATATAAAAGGATCTGACCTGTATTCCGCCCCCCAGCCCTTGACAAAGCTCATTCGGATGGTGCACATTCGGGTCAGCTGATAGACGGCCTCAAAGCCCTGGTTCACGGACTGTGCCAAGAGGGCTGCAAACTCCTGGTTGTTAAAAATCTTCAAGTTGCAGCCTGCCAAAGAGAGAGAGAGAGAGCAACAAAGGTCAGCGCATGTGTGAGCTGGCTCACAGTTTTTTAGCCTCCGGCTCACACATTTTTGTCTCAGCTCAGGAAGGAGGGCTCCAGAGCAAACTTAATTTATGCAGTAGCCAAATTGCTTGCTCACAACTTTAATGCTAGTAGCTCAAAAAGTAGAATTTTTGCTCACAAGACTCTACAGCTTAGAGGCAACATTGCTTCAGACCTTGTTGCCGACTGGACTGCAGTGTCCCCCAGCCAGCGCACACACGCACACACTGTAGGCACAGCGGGCACCTTCTCCCACGTGTCCCTGTTAAAGTGATCAGCGGGAGAAAGGAAGGGGAAGACCCAAGATGGGGAGGTGGAGTGCTTGAGGAGAGGCAGGAGCCGGGCTCCTCTCCTGGGTTTCTGGACAAAAGGATCTGACCTGCATAGCTCAGGCAAGCCCGGTCTTGGTAGATCTCGGAAGCTAAGCAGGGCCGACTCTGGCAAGTGCTTGGAAGGGCGACCTTCTCACACATTTTTGTCTTCGCTCAGGAAGGATGGCTCCAGAGCAAACTAACTGATGCAGTAGGCAGATCCCTCGCTCACAAGTTTCATGCCAGTCATTCACGAAGGAGAATTTTTGCTCACAAGACTCCAGAGCTTAGAGGGAACATTGCAGACGAGTTGTAAATCATCACATGAGCTTGAATGCCTTTTGTACACACACACACAAACAGAATCAAAAGTCCCCCAAACGCAAAGGACGTTCTTTGTACTCAAAGCCCTGGTTCACGGACTGTGCCAAGAGGGCTGCAAACTCCTGGTTGTTAAAAATCTTCAAGTTGCAGCCTGCCAAAGAGAGAGAGAGAGAGCAACAAAGGTCAGCGCATGGCTCTTCACCGCGCGCTCTGCCCTCTGGCACCGCCTTACGACAGACGAGTTGTAAGTCATCACACTGTGTGACTTCCATGAGCTTGAATGCCTTTTGTACAAACACAACTACACACACACAAACAGAATCAAAAGTCCCCCAAACGCAAAGGACGTTCTTTGGACAGAAAAGGAAAAGCTTGAAACTGGCATCTTCCTTTACTGTGGCTGCTTCAAAGTCACCCGCATCGCGGCAAAAAATTCCAATTCCACTGCACAGCAATTCAACAAAGGGAGCCGCCTTCTGCCCCCAAAAGAGCAGCCGTACGGCCTAAACCACCAGAGCTCTCGTAGAATCTATTTAGGCTTTCCTGGGACGTATTTAGGGCCGTGGTTTTGTGCACGTATTCCAGGGAACCGGACAGTTTGTTGCAGAAGATCCTGAGTGACTGACAAACTTCTGTCCCTCCCGCTTCCTGCACACCCACCCCCGTCCAATTCTCCCGCCATGGGAGAGTTGGAGATGTCTTTTTTTTTGGGGGGGGGGTCTGCTCTCTATGCAGGCAAGGGGGGCGATGAGGCCTAAAAGTCTGCAAACCGCCGAACATGAATCCCGGAGTCGATTCCAGCTACCTGGGCCACAACCTTCTGGGCACAAACTTCAGATCACGTTTGGGGAAAGGAAAGTGTTTTTCAAAAGCAAGAGGATCAGTGAGGGGGAGAGAGGAGAAGCTGAAGTCCCTGGCTAAAAAATATTCTCCAAATCGGACAGTTCTGGATATATTAATATCCAGATATATGGTTAATTTCCTCTACAGACATATAATTAGTTTCCTGTACATTCGGGAGGTGGTGGAGGCTCCTTCGCTGGACGTTTTCAAGCGGAGGCTGGACGACCGTCTTTCGGGTATGTTGTGGGGCTCTCTTTCGGCTGTGCTCCTGCAACGTGCCGGGGGTTGGACTAGATGACCTGCAAGGTCCCTTCCAACTCTAACATTCTATGATTCAATGGGATCCCCCTAGAACAAAGTTCGAGTCCAGTGGCACCTTTAAGACCAAGATAGTTTTATTCTGGGTATAAGATTTCGTGTCCCTGCGCACTTCTTCAGATACTGTTAGGGAGTCATTTGGGAGACATAAGAATGCTAATAAGAAGAGCCGTGGTGGATCTGACCACTGGTCCATCTAGTACAGCATCCCCTTTCACATAACAGCCAACCACTTACTGTGGAGGGCCAACAAAGAGACCATAAGAATAATCCTGCTGGATCAGACAAGTGAGGGTCCATCTAGTCCAGCCTCCTGTCTCACACAGGGGCCAACTGGGCACAGAGGCCGAGGCCTTCATAAGAACATAGGAATGGGGGTTTGAGCTGGAAAGCGATGGCTGGGGACGGTGCGCAGATGTTGACCGTGTGATCGCACATATAAAATGCTGAACCGTCACGACACCAGATCAAACGGCGCGTCTGTGTTTTCTTGCTTGCTGGCGCCAGAATCAGAGCCCTGCGTTCTGTTCTGCTTTTCCTGGAAAAGCGCACGGGCAGTGTTCCCTCTAAGCTGAGTTAGTGTGAGCCAGCTCACAGAGTTTTAGCCTCCAGCTCACAGAGTTTTGTCTCAGCTCAGGAAGGAGGGCTCCAGAGCAAACTAATTTATGCCATAGCCAGAGCACCTCCTCACAGCTTTAATGCCAGGAGCTCACAGAGTAGAATTTTTGCTCACAGGACTCCACAGCTTAGAGAGAGCATTGCTCACGGGGGTTGCCATGGAAGCCCCATACCCAGCCTCAACAACAGCACAGCGGCAGACCTGGACTTTTCCTGGGCTGGAGGAACTCTGCAAAACACAGACCTGCGCCGTGCAAGAAGGAAGAGGTACCTGGCGGTATCTTGCAGACAGTGGCCGGGTGCCAGCCGTAGCGCTGGTTGCAGTTCGGAGACTGGACAAAAATGGCGCTGTCGCTGAGGCACTCGGCAAACACCTCCCCGCCAATGTAATACAGCCTCACTCCTCTGCCTAGAAGACAAAAGACACCGACGTCAGCTCGGCCCGCAAAGCCTGTGGAACTCACAGACACATGGCGTGGCCTTCTTCTGAATCAGACCCTCGGTCCATCTGACTGGCAGCTGCTCTCCAGGGTCTCGGGCTGAAGTCATTCCCATCACCTCCTGCCTGGTCATTTTTTTTTTAATTAAACACTTTTATTATTGGAATACTGTAACATGTTCAACATTTAAACAGTCTATTCGTCACATACCCCTTTCGGTTTCCCCCTCCCCCTGCTCTGGCTTCCCACAATGATCCCACCCCCTCACCTTACTCCTTTCCTTCTTGTTTTCTTATCTCTAAACACCAACAATTAAAATTACTCAGTAACTGTTTCATCAATATATCTCTTATCTATATCAGCTATTTCGGAGTCTACCTCTCTATTCTTAGAAGTTATCAAAGCAAAATAGATTATTCTTCACATCCCAGTCTTTCTCCAGATATTCTTTAAAGTCCATCCAATCAGCCATAAACTCCTCTGGATCCTTATTGTTCAATTTCCTTGTCAATTTGTCCATTTCAACTATAAAAAAGCAACTTTTTAATCCATTCCCAGATTTCAGGTACTTTTTCTCGTTTCCAAGATTGAGCAAAAGTCATTTTGGCTGCTGTGATCAAATACCACATCAAAGTTCTCTTAGTCATATTCACTTCTTCCATTTTAAGTCCCAAAAGTAATACTTCTGGTTCTTTCTTAAAGGTACACTTCAAAATTTTTTGCATCTCACTATGTATATCTGCCCAATATTTAATCGCTTTATCACAAGTCCACCACATATGGTAAAACTGCCTGCTCATTTTTAACTGGGGGTGCTATAGATCGAACCTGGGACCTTCTGCACGCAAAGCGAGGCTTCCGCCAAGGAACAACAGCCTCCTGCAAACTGGGTCAACGGGACGGGTTGAGTTCATAACCACGAACGTGAAGCTGCCTTGTACTGAATCAAACCATCGGTCCATCGAGGCGGGCACCGTCTACTCAGACTGGCAGCCGCTCCCCAAGGTCTTGGGTGGGGACCCTTCACACCCCCTGGTCTTTTTGACTGGAGATGCCGGGGACTGAACTTGGGACCTTCTGGGTGCAAAGCAGATGCTCTGCCACTGAGCCGGGGCCACCCCCACCCCACCTGGCTCTTGTCCAAGCTCCCCAAGGGGGTTGGAAGGCCCTCAGCAAAGCCTCTGCCCGGCCACAGAGTGCTGAAGTCAGTGCAATGCTGACAATTCTCAATGAGGCCAAATCTCATGAATCTGGCTGCAGTACAACGAGCAGTGACCACGCCGGAGACCCCGAGCCGTGGCCCGCCTGAAAGATCCACGGAGGATGGAAGCTTCTCCCACCGTGGCCTCAGCAGCCGGCTCACTTGTCCACAGTGGGGCAAGTCTGGGTGTGTGTGTGTGTGTCAATCTCACATAGGACTCCCGCTTGGCACCCTGGCACCTCCCGGCAGAAACTTCCTGCAAGTCACGGGCATTCAGCGTCAGCTCTGCAAGAAGAAGGACTCTTCAAGGCCCCTTATGAGATTCAATACAATATAAAGAGAGAACCACGGGAATAGAGGAGGAGGAGGAGGAGGAGATTGGATTTATACCCCGCCCTTCACTACCCGAAGGAGTCTCAGAGCTGCTTACAATCTCTTTTCCCCTCCCCACAACAGACACCCTGTGAGGTCGGTGGGGCTGAGAGAGCTCTGAGAGAACTGCCCTTGAGAGAACAGCTCTGACAGAACTTGTAACTGACTCAAGGTCACACCAGCAGCTGCATGTGGAGGAGTGGGGAATCAAACCCGGCTCTCCCAGATTAGAGTCAGCGCACTTAACCACTACACCAAACTGGCTCTCACAAGTTCTATAATACGGGGCGGGGGGGGACTCGTGATATAAACAAGAATATAAATTTCAACAACAATAAAGAGTGCAATCTCAACAAGTCATATAAGTATAAACATTCATTCACATTAATAATTGTTAATAAATAATTATTATTATTAATAAATAATTCACATTAACGTCTACTCTTTGAAAATATTTGGCTACAACTACTTGGAAGCCAGTGACTACTTGAAAGCAAGAAGCATAAAACATTTTGTATGTCTTATCTACAAAAGCACTTTGAAGCTTGTGTATTAACGACTAAAAATGACAACGGTCTACTAAGAAGCACTTTACTGATCACAGCACTCTGTTTCTTCTCTTCCCTGAAGAATATTGGACAAACATGTATATATGAGATTTACTGTGGCTTCCATGACAGTGTGATTGGAATGGTATATTATATGAGTCTTGCCTTGTTAATGTGAATGTATATTAATACTTATGACTTGTTGAGACTGTGCACTCGCTATCATTGTGAAATCCGACTGGGGGCTTGGGAAACTGATGGGCCGCCTCCCGGCTTGGCTTTGCTCCATGGAAGGGCTCCTTCTGCCTCTCTGCGAGAGAGAGAGAAAGACAGTCCTGGGGAGGACGGAAGAAGCAGAGAGGCCGGGTGCGACTGGTGCCTGGAAAGGTTGCGGAGAGCCAAGCCCCAACGGTGCCAGCAATGCCACAAGGCGTGGCTCAGCCTGGACCTGAGAACAAATGTAAAGAAAACAGTCGTGAGAGTCTGACCCACAGATCAAGCAGTCAAACTTGCAAAGAAGATGCTTTCTGTATAATATGGTCAACAAGCACTTTTTTGTTGTTGTTCAGTCGCACAGTCGAGTCCGACTCTTTGCGACCCCATGGACCAGATCAACAAGCACTACAACACAATAAACAAATTCCATCAAATCATAAGAAAATCCTAGTGTGAAACTACATTATCAGCGTCGTCTCCGGATTATATAACGACGTTTCAAGATTGGATCTTCCTCAGGAAATATTATAGTAGTAAAAAAGCTCTCTTGCTCATAAAGTGCTTTACAAAAAATCAGGAAAGATAATCACGCCTGGGATCCATCAGAAGCTTAGCAGCGTATTTGAGCCTGAATACTCATTGAGATCAGCATCCCATCTGAATGTATTATCTTTCCTAATTTTTTTGTAAGGCACTTTATGAGCATGAGAGCTTTTGTACTACTCTAATATTTCCTGAGGAAGATCCAATCTTGAAACGTTGTTATATAATCCGGAGACGACGTTGATAATGTATTTTCACACTAGGATTTTCTTATGATGTGAAGGAATTTGTTTATTGTGTTGTAGTGCCTGTTGACCATAATATACAGAAAGCATTTTCTTTGCACATCTTGTTGACTGCTTGAACTGTGGGTCAGACTCTCACGACTGGTTTTTTTTACATTTGTTCTCCGCCTGGACCTGACCAGTAGAGATGACCTGGCCTCTTCCCATGCCGCCATCACCCCTCAAGGGCAAGCTGAACAGGGGCTGCCGGCAATGTTCCCTCTAAGCTGTGGAGTCTTGTGAGCAAGAATTCTTTTTTGTGAGCTACTGCCATTAAAGTTGTGAGCAAGCAATTTGATTACTGCATAAATTAGTTTGATCTGGAGCCGTCCTTCCTGAGCTAGGACAAAAATGTGTGAGCCGGAGGCTAAAGAACTGTGAGCTAGCTCACACTAACTCAGAGGGAACACTGGCGCCGGGCTGTTTTAGCTTGTCACTGTGCCCCTGGGTAGCTGGCATCACCATCTTAACAGCTAGATAGAAAGCACCGTGAAATCCATCCAAGCCCTCTAGTGTAATTGGGCTCATATTCAAGAACAGCAAGCCAATCTTGCCCCGCTGTCTTGCACAGTACCGATGTGCCTCCGGGTGAGCTCTACCGCCGCGTTGCGGTTCACGTTCGACAGCAAGCCGAGGCAGAAGCGCTCCGAGTTGGAAGGGTCGGTGAAGCCGTCCACGGTCATTGAGGGCTGAGAAGCGTGGAACGTCTCCCCAACGCGCTGGTTGAGCTCGTAGTAGGAGATGGAGCACCAGAAGGCGGGCTCGCAGTAAGTGACGGGCTGCAGGTCTGCAGAGGGAAGAAAATCAACAAGATCTGTCGGGTGAAGCAGAATCCGCATCGCTTCCTCTGCCTGCATCGCTTTGGCCATCGGTTTTAAAAAAGCCTTCCGAAGTCAGCATCTCAATACTTCCCCACAAGGCTCCTCCTGTTGCAGGGCTTGTGAGAGAAATTATCTTAGCCAGAAGATGACCTTTCACTTACCCCCTTTCACAGAAGCTGGACCATTTGCAGACATCCTATTGGCTCAGCTGGAACATCTCATTACATCATAGCAGCTCAGCCAATCGCTACCATAAGCTATGCGGTCGCAAAATTCCTTAGCAGGCCACGACATTATTTATTTATTTATTTATTCTATTCAATGTATACCCCGCCCTCCCTACCAAGGCAGGGTTACGCAAATGCATCAGAGGACAATTAAAATCCATCGTAAAATTCATCATACCAAAACAGGTCGGCTATCCTAAAACCCATAAATCCACTTTCCTAAAGTGCTGGTCCTGTTTTCAAACAAAGTGCACAAGCAGTAATCTCAGACTGACCCCTACTCCACGGGTGACAGTCGTAATGATGTTCCCACATGCTCTGTTGAGTTCCTTATTTACCTAGCGAGGCGGGCGAGAGACGGTAAAGCCAGGGCACAGGGTCTCTTCCCGGATGTCACATGCGGCTCCTAACATGCGGCCAGGGACCAGCCTACCTGAGGGACCGCCTTTCCCCACACGTGCCCCCAAGAGCACTACGGTCTGGGACCCAGCACCTATTGGATGTGCCAGGTCCCCGGGTTATCAAACTCGCTACGACCAGGAATAGGGCGTTTTCGGTGGCGGCTCCTATCTCGTGGAACGAGCTCCCAGAGGAGAATCAGGGCTCTGCGGGACCTAGCACAGTTCCGCAGAGCCTGCAAGACGGAGCTCTTCCACCAGGCGTTTGAATAGGAGCCGCCATCACTATGACACCATCTTCGCCCCAAGCTTTAGGGACAGGGTCATCACCATGTGGGTGCATTGGATAAGAACGGGACTTCTTAGGAGACGACCATCTTGCTTTAAGAAAGGAGCACCAAACATTGTTTTGAATGTAAGATGTTTTAATATTTAATGTTATTTAATACTTTTAATGTTATCGTTTTATTATATGGTTCGGCGATATGCCGTGTAAGCCGCCCTGAGCCTACGGGGAGGGCGGGATAGAAATATAAATAATAAATAAATAAATAAATAACTGAAAGCCTGGTGGAAAAGCTCCGTCTTTCAGCCCCTGCAGAACTGTAAAAGGTTCTCTTCCGGGAGCTCGTTCCACCAGTGCGGAGCCGCCACTGAGAAGGCCCTGGCCCTGGTTGTCGCCAGCCTGGCGGACTCCAGCGTCCTGCTCTCATCCTGTGTGCAACTTCAGTTGCAAAGGTTCTGAGCACCAGTTGTGGCACGAGAGGGGTGTCGAACACAGAGAGCGAGAGAGCACACCGGCAGTATGCAGAACGAGCCAAGTGCCAGTGTTCTGCGCCCACGTGTATTTCTGGAACGCCTCTGTGAAGCTGGCTCACCCAGACCTAGGAATGACGCCACCTGCCCATCGGGCATCTCCTGGCAGCATCAGTCCCAAATGGTGCCCCTCCTTACCCAGATTGTTGTGTGCCGGGGACATCGGGTTGGGGGACAGGTTCGGAGAGCCTGAAGAAGACAAGAAGCAGAGACAGTTAGGCCAGCCGAGAGAGAGAAGAAGAGAGAAGCAGAACAGATCCCACATTATTTTAGAAACTGATCTCATTCACCCACAAAGAATCCCGGACGGACGTTCATTTTACAGCTGGGAAGTGGAGGCAGGGAAGCAGCGGTTCTTCCAGAGCCTCCCCTGTGTGTCCCCAGGCTGAGCTGGCATCTCAGCGTCGTGGAGAAGAACTCCACCAGTCCTCCGGCACCAGCTCCACTGAAGCAAGCTGTCTCCTGCTCAGGCACTCCTCCGGCACCAGCTCCACTGAAGCAAGCCGCCCCGTCTGTCTCCTGCTCCGGCATGATACTGTGGCCCCCTGCAGAAGGACTTCCACAGAGGGCCGTCCCCCAAGCCCAAAGCCCATTGGGCAATCCTGGGACTTCCACAGAGGGCCGTCCCCCAAGCCCCCATTGGGCAATCTTGCTGTCTTGGTACACAGGCCCAAAGCTTGGCACCCTACGGCTCAGTTAGAAAGATGACGCTTCCCCGCTTGACTTCTTGTGTGGCTTACTGTTTCCTGTGCAAAACAGACACAGCTAACAAACACACACACGGAACTGTTTTATAAGGAGTCAGACCCTTGGTACATCCAGGTTGGTATCATCTTCTCAGACTGGTAGCAGCTCTCTCGGCAGGGTCTCAGGTGGAGGTCTTTCACATCACCTGCTGCCTGGTCCTTTTTAACCGGAGATGCCGGGGATTGAACCTGGGACCTTCTGCGTGCCAAGCACAGGCTCTAACATTGAGCCATGCCCCCCCACACCCCATACATGGGCATATGAAACTGCCTGGGGTCCATCAAAGTCAGTATTGTCTACTCAGACTGGCAGCAGCTCTCCAGGGTCTCAGGCGGAGGTCTTTCACATCACCTGCTGCCTGGTCCTTTTAACTGGAGATGCCGGGGATTGGACCTGGGACCTTCTGCGTGCCAGGCAGAGGCTCTTCCACTGAGCCACGGCCCCTCTTTACAGCTCTCCGGGGTCTCAGGCTGAGGTCTTTCACGTCACCTACTGCCTGGTCCTTTTAACTGGAGGTGACTGAACCTGGGACCTTCTGCATTCCAAGCACATGTTCTACTGCTGAGCCACAAGCCCTCTTTCTGAACCTCCAGTGTCTCAGGCTGAGGTCTTTCACATCACCTCCTGCCTGGTCCTTTTAACTGGAGATGCCGGGGATTGAACCTGGGACCTTCTGCGTGCCAGGCAGAGGCTCTTCCACTGAGCCACAGTCCCTCCTTACAGCTCTCCAGGGTCTCAGGCAGAGGTGTTTCCCATCAACTGCCGCCTCGTCCCTCTTTTAACTGGAGATGCCGGGGATTGAACCTGGGACCTTCTGAGTGCCAGGCAGAGGCTCTCCCACTGAGCCACAGCCCCTCTTTACAGCTCTCCAGGGTCTCAGCTGGAGGTCTTTCACATCACCTCCTGCCTGGTCCTTTTAACTGGAGATGCCGGGGTTTGAACCTGGGACCTTCTGCGTGACAGGCAGAGGCTCTTCCACTGAGCCACAGCCCCTCCCTGAAAGCCCAAGAGGACCAAGACAAGCTTCTTACTGCAGCTAAGTGAAAGCCTTTCATCTGTTTACCTGTGCAACTTGCTATACTTTTTTGTTTAACTAGGAGCTATACTATGCAAGTTGAAAAATTTAGGAGACAAGGAAGAAACAAAGAACAGTGATACGGTTTACCCTTCCCTCTCTCAGTAGCTGCCAATTACTTCTACACAATTAGCGTATATAATTGCAATATTCACACATCATCTTTTAACACAGTTCATTAAACCATGTCTGGGCATTTAGAACATTTCTTGTTCAGAAAGGATTCAAAATGCTACCTGTTGTGCATCAGCCGCACATGAATGAACCCCCAGTGTGCATGCAAGAGGTTTTCACCTCCTTGAATAATTTTTGTAATTAAAAAAAAAAAAATATCTTATAAGCATTTCTGTTTTTAAAAGGCCTGAGAATGCCTGGAGTTAGAGAAAAGGGAGGGGGAACCGGTGCCGCTTTACACATCGACGGGACACTCTGTGGATATACCTCCCAAGCCAACGCAAAGTCAAGTAAATTATATCCCCAAACGCTGACCACATGACCAATAATTGCACATGCTGAAAATGTATTCCCAACCAGGGCCGCGCATTGGGCCCACCAAAAATCCCACGCCAGCCTTCTTCCACCTGTATCATTATGGTGAAAGATGGTAAATTCGGCATTTCTCGTTTTAGAATCCCACATACATTCTTTGCCCCAAGTAAGGCCTTTGGAGACAGTCAATCCAAAGCAGGATTTGCGCCAGAGAAAGCTTTCCCATTTTGGGGTCCTGTGAAACACTTCTTGCTCTAGAGCCAGAGTCCAGGAGCACCTCAAAGACTCACACAATTTGGGGCAGGTGAGGAGCTTGCGTGAGTCACGGCTCGCTTCTTCCGATACAGCGAGAATGTGACAGTAGAAGAGACTGAGAGTCCAGGAGCACCTTAAAGAATAACAAAATTTGTGGCCGGGGAGGAGCTTTTGTGAGTCCCTGCTCACTTCTTCAGATAGATCGAGATGGGTCACCATCAATGCTCCCTCGAAGCTGTCTTGTGAGCAAAAATCCTACTTTGTGAGCTCCTGGCTGCTGCATAAATTACTTTGCTTTGGAGCCATCCCTCCTGAGCTGAGACAAAAATGTGTGAGCCGTAGGCTAAAAAAACTGTGAGCCAGCTCACGCTAACTCAGCTTAGAGGGAACACTGGTCCCCATGTTTATTGTGTGTTTCATTCTGTTTTTACCTGTTGGATTTTGGCATATGTGCCCTTCTGTTAGCCGCACTGAGCCCATTTGGGGAGGGCAGGGTATAAATTTACCAATAAATAAATAAATAAATAAAATCTGTAGCAGTCGAAAAGAGCCGGCGTCCAGGAGCACCTTCAAGACTAACAGAATTTGTGGCAGGGGAGGAGCTTTCGGGAGTCACGGCTCACTTCTTCAGGCAGACTGAGATGGGTGGCCGTGTTAGTCTGTAGCAGTAGAAAAGAGCAAGAATCCAGGAACACCTCAAAGATGAATAGAATGTGTGGCAGGGGAGGAGCTTTTGTGAGTCACGGCTCACTTCTTCAGGCAGATCGAAGCTGTGGAGTCTTGTGAGCAAAAATCCTACTTTTGTGAGCTCCTGGCATTCAAGTTGTGAGCGAGGGATTTGGCCACTGCATAGGTTAGTTTGCTCTGGAGCCCTCCTCCCTGAGCCGAGACAGAAATGTGTGAGCCAGAGGCAAAAAAACTGTGAGCTAGCTCACATTAACTCAGCTTAGAGGGAACACTGGTCCCCATGTTAGTGTATCTGTAGCAGTCGAAAAGAGCCAGCATCCAGGAGCACCTTCAAGACTAACAAAATGTGTGGCAGGGGAGGAGCTGCTGTGAGCCACCGCTCTCTTTTTCAGACAGATCAAGATGGGTCACCGTCAATGTTCCATCTAAGCTGTGGAGTCTTGTGAGCAAAAATTCTACTTTGTGAGCTCCTGGCACTAAAGTTGTGAGTGAGTAATTTGGCTGCTGCATAAATCAGTTTGCTCTGGAGCCCCATCCTTCCTGAGCTAAGACAAAAATGTGTGAGCCAGAGGCTAAAAAACTGTGAGCTAGCTCACACTAACTCAGCTTAGAGGGAACATTGGTCTTTGTGTTGCTTTGGGCCCCCCCCCCCCCCGGTTAGCTGCAACAGAATGAAGAGACGGGCAAACGGAAATGCAAGATCTGAGCTAGTGAAGGAGGGGCAGATCAAGGACCACAGGAGTGGGCTAACCCACGAGGCCCCTCGCTCTGGGCAGGCGGCCCGTCTACCCGAAGTGCAACCGACACAATTCCAATGCCGCCGCAAAGCCATCGTGCGTGCTCTCTACCTGCATCCATGCTGTGGTTCATCTGATGGTCGCTGGTTTCGCCATCCTCGCTCAGGTAGCCAGGCGGGGGGGTCTCTGTGAACAACGGGAAAGGACGCGCGTGAACACAAAAGCCCGAGTAAAACGCAAGGCCTTAGGAATTACCGACACATCCTTGTTGAATGAAAACACAAAGCTGCCTTCTGCTGGATCAGAGCACTGGTCAGTCAAGGTCAGCGGCTCTCCAGGGTCTCCGGCGGAGCTTTTTCACATCTTATGCAAAATTATGCATGGGATAGAGCAGGTAGAGGAAGAAAGACTTCTCTCCCTTTCTCACCGTGCCAAGAACTCTTTGGCACTCCATAAAGTTGCTGAGCAGTAGGGCTTCAGACAGAGAAAAGGAAGCACTTCTTCAACCACAGAGTGATTAACGTGTGGAACTCGCTGCCGCAGGAAGTGGTGGCAGCTACAGGCACGGACAACTCCAAGAGGGGATTGGATAGACTTATGGAGCAGACGTCCATCAGTGGATATTAGCTGTAAGATATAGATGGAGCATTCTGTCTGGGGCAGTGGTGTTCTGTATACTTGGTGCTTGGGAGGGGCAACAGTGGGAGGGCTTCTGGAGTTCTGGCCCCGCTGGTGGACCTCCTGCTGGCACCTGGATTTTGGCCACTGTGTGACACAGAGTGTTGGACTGGCTGGACCATTGGCCTGATCCAACATGGCTTCTCCTCTGTTCTTAATTGATAAACATATGGCACAGATGTCCATCAGTGCCTACTAGCCACAAGGTAGAGATGAAGCACTCGATCTGTGGCTGTATTCTTGGTGCTGGGAGGGGGGCAACAGTGGGAGGGCTTCTAGTATCCCGGCCCCACTGCTGGACCTCCTGATGGCACCTGGGTTTTGGCCACTGTGTGACACAAAGTGTTGGACTGGATGGGCCAGTGACCCAATCCAACATGGCTTCTCTTATGTTCTTATGTTCTCTTATGTCAGCTGCCTAATCCTTTTACTTGGGAGATGCCAGAGGCTGAACCGTGCAGATGCCAAGCGGATGCTCTACCACTGAGCCACAGCCCCTCCCCAAACTTCTAACTCTCCAAAGGGCTTAAGAAGAAGAAGAGAAGAGATTGGATTTATGCTCCACCTGTCACTCGGAGTCTCAGAGCGGCTTACAATCTCCTTTCCCTCCCCCTCCCCACAACAGACACCCTGTGAGGGAGGTGAGGCTGAGAGAGCTCTGACAGAAACTGCTCTTGAGAGAACAGCTCTGATCAGAACTACGGCTTGCCCAAGGTCATCCAGCCAGGTGCAAGTGGAGGAGTGGGGAATCAAACCCGGTTCTCCCAGATAAGAGCATGCACACTTAACCACGACACCAAACTGGCTCTCAATGGAATCCATCCTTATAAGAGAGAGCTCTTGACAGAAACGGCTCTTTTTCAAGAACAGCTCTGATCAGAACTACGGCTTGCCCAAGGCCATCCAGCAGCTGCAAGTGGAGGAGTGGGGAATCAAACCCGGTTCTCCCAGGTTAGAGTCCGCGCACTTCACCACGACACCAAACTGGCAAAAATAGCCTTTCCCCATTTAGCCTAAACGGTTCCCATCTGTGATTCCCACCCCACCCTAAAGGTCCGGGGAAAACGTTTGCCGTACCTGGAATGTAGTTGCTCTGTGGCTCGATGCCAGCTGGGAAATTAGTGTTCTCCGGAATTGAGTGGCTGTAATCGTCCAGTGGGGGGAACTCGGCCGGGATTTCTGTGTGTCTCGGTACCAAAACTGGAGGCAAAACTGGAGAGAGGGAAAGAAAGGAAGAGACGACCGCGCCCAGAACGTCAGCAGCAGGCCTCGACACCACAACCCCTAACAGCATGGCTGCCGACTCCAGGTTGGGAAACTAAGTTTCGGAGTGGGGGGGGGGGGGAGGGGAACTATGTGAAGGCCCGGGGGGGAAACGGAAAAATTCGAAAAAATTGAAAAAAGAAAAGAATTTTTTTTTGACTATGGAACGTTTTATTTTAACATGATGAATAAAATATTTTAAGACAAGGTGTTCAGATATTTTCCAAATCATTTCTAAAATATATATACATGGTATCAGACTGATCTAATTTCTGTGCACTGAGGACAAGCAAGTCCTAGGTTACAAAGTGAACTCTCCAATGCAAGAACAAGATGCATTTCTTCCTTTAGGAGGTGCTATTGTCAGAAGCAAAGAAAAAGGTTTCAGTTTTGTTTTTGCATCTGGGTTGGTATTCTGTTTGTAATAATTGTCTGGATACACTATATTTTTAATATGCTAGTTGTGATCATTTCAAGCCAAGTCAAGTAAAAATGTCCATAGTCATATTTTATGTTCCTAAAGTAACAGAATGACTTTCAATCTGGAAAAGACAAAAGAAATGCAAATGTAGCATTTTTTTCATTTCTTCCGAAAATTTCCGTTCTCCCCGGAAAAAAACGGATTTTTTCCCGAGCTTCAAAATTTCCGGAAATTTTACATCTCTAGGGGGGGGACCCCAGGAAGGGGACGGCTTAGGGAGAGGAGAGAACTCAGTGGGGTATAATGCCTTCCAAAGTCCACCTTCCAAAGCAGCCATTTTTCTCCAGGGGAACTGATCGGTGTTGTCTGGGGCTGAGTTGTAATTCTAGGAGATCTCCAGGCCCCACCTGGAGGCTGGCAACCCTCCCCACCAGCCATTCCGTTCTACAGCTTCCCTTTCCCAGCAAGGATCGCCGGTGTTCGCCAGCCCCCGTCCAAGACCATCCCAGCAGCCCACAGTACCTGGAGTCTCCACTCTCTGATAGTGGTACGGATTCACGCAGACTTCGTCCTTCTTCATGTTGAAGGCGTACTCGCACATCTCCATGGCGCGCAGCTCGTGGTGGCTATGAAGATCCGGCCATCGCCACAGCCGGCAGTAGATCACGTGCGGGAGGCCCTTCCGGTGGGAGACCTGCAGTCGGCCATCCAGCGATCTGCGTGGGGCGGGAGGAAGAGGAAGGTAAAGACGAAGGGCTCTCAACTTTGCTCCTGCGCTTTAATAAAAGGCGGTTTGCGATCACTTAAAATACAATGGTCTATGGCAGCCATCCGCTGGTTATTCAAATATCTGTAGAAATGCTTTTAAAATATTGGCCAGCGGTTTCGCAGGTCCAAAGGGCAGCTGGGCCGTTCTGCGGAAGAGCAGATTCGAGTCTGGTAACATCGTAGAGACCCACAAGTGTTTCAGGGTGTACAGCGCCCAGACTCTCGAGAGCTTATCCCCTGAAATTCTCGTTGATCTCTAACATCCTACCGGACCTGAATCTAACAGTTTCACGGTGTAATTTCATCAAGACTGGCTGCTTGTGCTGCTAAAAAACCCCATCAAAGCCGCTTCATAATTTATTTCTGTTTCATTTCATTTACGTCGTCCACCTTTCTCTCTGAGACGCAAGGCGGGCTACAAAATAGAGAGGAACAATTCCACCAGACAGCAGAAGACCTCCGCTCAGCCATGCAGTCGTGCCAGGATGACAAAACTATAAAACAGCGCAAACCAAAAACTGTCCCATGCACCGTAATGTGGAAAGCAGCTTACAAAGGGACACAGAAATGCAGTGAAAGCAAAGCGCTACTGGCCGTGAACACTGCAATAGACTACAATCCTGTTTCCTTATAAAAAGCACCCTCCTGAGCTGTTCCAGTTTGGTGTAGTGGCGAAGTGTGTGGACTCTAATCTGGGAGAACCAGGTTCGATTCCCCACGCCTCCACATGCAGCTGCTGGATGACCTTGGGCAAGCCATAGTTCTCTCAGAGCTATTCTCTCAAGAGCTCTCACAGCCCCACCCACCTCACAGGGTGTCTGTTGTGGGGAGGGGAAGGGAAAGGAGTTTGTAAGCCGCTCTGAGACTCTGAGTGAAGGGCGCGGTATAAATCCAATCTCCTCCTCCATTATACTATGGTTCTAACCCCTTTGTATAAACATCACCCTGAACATATCTGTTTTTGCACAGTCTGTGGAATGACAGATGAGCCCGGCTGGATCAGACCAGGGGTCCATCTAGTTCAGTATGCTCTTTCACACCTGCTGACCAACCAGTTGCTTTGGAGGCCCCACAAAACAGGGCAGAGAGGCTGAGGCCTTCCCCGAACGCTGCATCCCAGCCAGCACCCATATTCAGAGGTTAACTGCCTCTAAACATGGAGGTTCCCTTCAAGGACCATGGCTTGTAGCACTGATGGGCCTCTACTCTATGGATCTATCTGAATTCCATTAAAAAAAAACCCATTACTTTTAAAAACTATTCAGTGTTTTGGCTGACAGACAAAAAGGATGGAGAAAAAGGTGGACGCAGCCAGGAAGAAATGGAAAGTCTTTATTCTCAGCTTACATTCACATGGATATCACCTCCTCTTCGCCAATTTAAAATGTAAATGTCACTCTCTGGACAGTGGAATGAATTAACTGTCGACATTGAAAAAGAAGGATAACCTCTACTCCTTTTGCATCTTAGAATGCGAGGAAAGGGAAGGAGACCAACTCATAAAAGCGGGATCTTCATAAGTGATTCATCTGGGCCGAAACTTCCACTACATTATTGATTCGGCTTCACCGAAAAGAATGACGAGTCAGGCCAATGCAGTGTGTTTGGCTCTTTTCTGCTGCTTGCCTGTCGCAGGATTGCAGTGACGCAGGTAACCCGAAACGTCTTTTCCCGAAAGCGGCTCAGGTATGAAAGACGCATCAAACAACAGAGAAGGCCGTCTCTCAACTGAAAAGCCAATGGGCAACAACGGGAGGGAACAACATTCTCAAGCCCATGTGTGTGGCTACCGAGAACGTCTTAAACGTATTCCGCTGTTGTCGAACTTAGTCACTCAAAGGGGGGTTCAAAATTATTGCGACAGAGCACAGGAAACGCTCTGTCCCAAGGCAGCTGCAGAATGTTCACACGCCAAAGAGCACACCCCTCTCTAGGCAGAACTTTCCCACCTGTGCCGACAGTTCCCCCAGGGGTCAGAGCCACTGTAAACACAACCCACAGCTTTCAGTGAACTCAACGGCCCAACCATTCTGTTTCCTTATCTGCCATTTCAAAAGTCCTGCGATGGAACACAGGCTCCCTCTAAGCTGTGGCGTCTTGTGAGCAAAAAATCTACTTTGTGAGCGACTGGCATTAACGTTATGAGCCAGCGATTTGGCTCCTGCATAAATTAGTCTGCTCTGGAGCCATCTTTTCTGAGCTGAGACAAAAATGTGTGAGCCGGAGGCTAAAGAACTGTGAGCTAGCTCACACTAACTCAGCTTAGAGGGAACACTGCATGTGAGCAAAAATTCCACTTTGTGAGCGACTGGCATTAAAGCTGTGAGCGAGCGATTGGGCTACTGCATAAATTAGTTTGCTCTGGGGCAATGATCTGTGGAGCTGTGGAGTCCTCTGAGCCAAAAATTCTACTTTGTGAGCTACCAGCATTAAAGTTGTGAGCAGGTAGGTGATTCGGCTTCTGCACAAGTTAGTTTGCTCTGGACTGGAGCCCTCCTCCCTGAGCGAAGACGACAGTGTGTGAGCCGGAGGCTAAAAAACTGTGAGCTAGCTCACACCAACTCAGCTTAGAGGGAACACTGGATCATGGAACCCATGCCCGCTTGGATGGCTTTGCCCCACCCACAGCCGACTGGCAACACCCCCTTCTTGGTGCTTGAGCATCTAACAAAAGGGCCCGTTGCTGGCCCACCTTCTCCACCACTGTCAACGCCATTTCCTCTGGCAGGAAAGAAGACTGCAGAAAACAAACTGAAACCAAACGTCCCAGGCCTTCCCACCCAAGCTGCGGGGGAACCTCCACGTGAAGAGACCCAAGGAGGAAAGCACGTGGCTTTGTGGCCGAGCACTTCCTCTGCGTGCAGAAGGTTCCTGGGGGCGGGGATCTTCTTGAAACGGGGCTCTCGCTGGCCTTTAAAGTGCTCCTGGACCCAAACCCTGCTTTTCTATTGCCGGCCAACGTGGCTGGTCGTGGTGGAAAGTATCATCCAGCTGCAGCTGACTTAAGAGGTGACCCCCCACAGGCTTTGCAAGGCAAGAGATGCTCAGAAATGGTTTTCCACTGCCTGCCTCTGCGGAGTGAGTGACCTAGACTTCCTTGGTGGACTGCCTTACAAATACTAACCAGGGCCAACATTGCTTAGCTTCCAACATTCAATGGAGCAACATTTCAAGTCATTTGATTGACCAAAAGTCATGACATACCAGAGGCATGGGAATCGTGGCACCTAATATGATACAGTTGCTTAATGGAGCCCAAGCATCATTTCTCCGAGCCAGTACAAACTGGTAAACACACTACCTCTTCTGCCCCAGTTCCCCTCCATGCATACAGTGTCATGATTCAATTAAAACTTGGTTTTATTTCTGAAATGACACAAATCATAGCAAAGGGTTTGCAGCCTGTGCTATCCCCTTCAGGACCCCAGTAAAATGTACCCATTCTCCTGCCATGCTTCGACCCTGTTAGTTACCCATACAGCAGCTCACAAGGTTGGGATCTAAACCTGCATACATTAAGTATTTTGGTCTTATGAAATATTTATATACTATGAGCAAGTGCATCGTGTTTTGGAAAAAATAACTATTGCAATTTAAAAGATTTCCTGACTAGAGACACTGTTTCTCACAATAAAGTCATGCCAGTCATGAAAATAGCAAAACTAGGCCACCCACAGACAAGGTGAAGGTTTCTATGAGCTCCCGAGTGAGATGAGGGCCCTGCAGGATTTATTACAATTCTGATGGCTACCCGAGAGAGAGAGAGAGAGAGAGAGAGAGAGAGAGAGAGAGAGAGAGAGAACAAACTCTCAACAAACTTCTGTCTCGTCAGCAAAACTGGCTCTTCTTGCGACTCCAGACCAACCCCCTCTGGGGCTTGTCCGCCCTCCGGTTTTCTCTGACCTCTATCGTGCTGCTAATGAGCAAGTCGTGGGATGATTCATTTCCTGTGCACCAACCCCATGGTCCATGTGGGAGAGGTTTGGGCAGGCCCCCCTCCTCACATGCCCCGAGCCACAGAAAGGACTCGCTCGTCTCCCTTTGCCCGAGCCACCCTCCGGGTTTGCCGCAAAGGGTGCTCGTGAGGCTGAGGGCGGCTATCGCGTGTCTCCCTGGAGGTGAAAAGGGCAGGCCGAGCAGAGTCAGTGAGTTTTATAGCTCAGACTTCCTTCTTTGTGACTCAGCGCCAGCCGAGAAGGAAAGCCGAGAGAGAAAACATCGTTCCACAAACACGGGGCAGAAGGCTGGCCTGAGTAAGGCCCTTTCCAAAGTTAACTGTGTGAGGCAGCACAGGTAATACAGCTGCTTGCAAAAATCAAGAATTCCCAGTTTGGTGTCGTGGTGAAGTGCGCGGACTCTAATCTGGGAGAACTGGGTTTGATTCCCCACTCCTCCACTTGCAGCTGCTGGATGACCTTGGGACAGTCACAAATTCCCTCAGAGCTGTTCTCTCAGGAGCAGTCCTCGAAAGAGCTCTCTCAGCCCCACCCGCCTCGCAGGGTTTCTGTTGTGGGGAGGGGATGGGAAAGGAGTTTGTAAGCCGCTCCGAGACTCTGAGTGAAGGGCAGGGTATAAATCCAATCTCCTCTTCTTTTTTCCAGAATGTGGGGCAGGGTTGCCAGCCTCCAGGTGGGGCCTGGAGCAGTGTTCCCTCTAAGCTGAGTGAGTGTGAGCTAGCTCACCGTTTTTTACCCTCCGGCTCACACATCTTTGTCTTATCTCAGGAAGGGATGGCTCCAGAGCAAACTGATTTATGCAGTAGCCAAATCACCTGCTCACAACTTTAATGCCGGGAGCTCACAAAGTAGAATGTTTGCTCACAAAACGCCACAGCCCAGAGGGAGCACTGGCTTGTTTTTACAACTGATCCCCAGCCAACAGAGATCCCCTGGATCTAGCCTTGCTGGTGGCTTTCAACAGTGCCCCAAGGTCTGGATCCAGCAATGTG